CCTTGGAGAGGGACATCATGCTTGGGAGGGTGGAGGGACGGCGCAGGAGGGGAAGACCCTGTATGAGATGGATTGATTCGGTGACTGGGGTAATCGGGATGGGTGTGTCGGAGGCAGTGCGATTGAACAAGGACAGAGCAGGGTTTAGGGCTGTTGTGCATAGGGTCGCTATGAGTCGCAAACCACTCCACAGCACCTAACAACAACCACCACCTCTGGGATTGCAGTGCAGCCTCTTGCCACCAGGCCACCAGAGCCCCCCTAGGCACATGCATTCTGGGATTCTCTGCTTTCAGCTAAGGTCCATCTGCCATCAGCAGTGATAGTCCTTGCACCATGTCCTCTTTGGAACCCAGCTTGAATTAGCATCAATCATTAGAGAAATTGAAATAAAAATCACCATGTCTTACTACTCCATTCTACTGTGATGGTTATTACAAAAACGAAACTCAACCCAATAAAAACCTCAGCGAGGACACAGGATGACTGGAGCACTCGAGAATGTATACTGGGCCAGGTAATGTGCACAACTGCTAATTACTCAAAGAGTTAAACAATGCACATCTGTATTTACCGTTGTGTTACTCACAACAGTGAAGAGATGGAAACAACCCTAATGGCCACCAACAAATGAATGGACAGAAAAACCCATGGTCCACTCACACGCTGGAGTATTACACAGTACTGAAAGCAGTGTAGTCATAAAACACTACAGACACAAGTGAGTCTGGAAGACATTATACGTAAAATATCTCAATCACAAATGGACAAATACTGCATAAGACTGCTGTGATTAAACATGACTGAGAGGTGAGGGGACAGGAAAAGGGGGGACAGACACTGTGCTGTGTGAAGGACTTTGTGAGAGGAAAGTGTGGCCAGGCGTGACATGCATGACAATCCGCCGGGATGAGAAACGTGTTACAACGTGGACTGGGGGGGGTACGACACAGGAGTGGGGGAAAATGTGCATCTGTGAAGGAGCAAAACCCCAACTTTTCTGTAAATATTCATTAAAATCACAATAAAGACAAATTATAACTCCACCCCTGGTATATGCCTGAAAGAACTGAAAACTGGGACTCAACACATCTGTGGGCCCCAGTGTTTGTCATAGCACTATCTGTGATAGGCAGAAGGTGGAGACAGAAGCTAGGTGCCCATCAGTGGAGAAAGTGCTGTGTGTGTAAATGTGTACACACACACACACACACACACACACACACACACACACACACACACACGTCCTGGTGGTGTACTGAGTTACGTGTTGAGCTGCTAAGTGAAAGGGGAGCCACTGACCACTCTGCTGTCATTAGGATTTAAGCATGGCTGAGGGGCTGCGAGGAGGTGGCTGTGCTCTGTGGCGATGGGCCCAGGGAGTTCAGTTTATACGATGCTGAGTGTAAAAGCCCAGCACACAGAACAAATGCTGCGGGACCCCAGGCCACGAGGCACTCGGAAGAGGCAATGCATTGAGACATTAAGTAGCTTAGAGGTCACTGGGTCTGGAAGGGACGGGTACCCACCAGGAGTTATTGCTTAATGAGGACAGAGTTTACATCTGGAGTGATGAAAACATTCTGGGAGTGGACCGTGGTGATGGCCCAACAGGGTGGACAGAATAAATGCCACTGAATTTACAGTTAAAGATAGTTAAATCAACAAAATTGAGGTTTTTACATATTTTACCGGAAGAGGTTAAAAAGACCTGGGATCCGGGTGCTGGGACCCCCCCCCCCCTGGCCATTTTGGGGACAGCTGAGGGGTAAAATGAAGAGCAACAGTCTAGGCTGTGGCCAGTTCAAGGAGGTGGGACCCTGAGCCCGCCTGGCTGGGAGAAGGGCTCCTGCACTCACTTCTCTCCCACTACGAGGGTCTCCTCGCCACCACGTGAGAAAAGAGGCAAACTGCAGATCTGTTAAAGGGTTCGCATCCAGAAAGCACAGACGCCCTGACCCCAACAGCAACAGTGCCAAGCTGGGCCCTGGAGAAGGCCTGGGAGGGGAGGAGGGGCCTGGAGGGCTTCCTTCAGTGAGGAGGGGGTGTGCGTCCTCCACTTTCCCCAGGGGCTCCAGACCCCCATCTCCTGGGTCAGCTGTGGTCCTACACCGAGAGGGAGGCCAGGACCGAGCCGAGGACGCCCCTCCAACAAAGGGCTGATGGAAGAGGGTCTGAGGAGGTTCCACGAGAACAAGTGTCAGCCAGACAGATCCACTCGGCTCTCCTGTCTTGGGAGCTGACGTGAGCTGAGCCTGGGGTGAGAGGTGAACCGGAGACTCCCGGATGAGAAGCCTGCTATAGGCATCTGCAGTAAGCCCCCTCCCAGGGCCTGACTTTCCACCTGGGACCCCAGGGCAGCTTCAAGACCAGCCGCTCAATGAGACAGTGTCAAGAATGGAGACAGTTCATCCTCACCTCAGAAAACATGACCACAGCCTCCTCCCGTCAGGGAGACCATCACGACATGCGCCGGGAACCTGACACGGACCCCAAACCCACCTCTCTGCGTCTCCCTGGGACCAGACCAACCAGCATCACCGCGGACAGCAAGAGACTGTAACTCAGGCCAACTGCACTCACACTGGCAACGTTCACACCTGCAAAACCCGCCCCCTCATGGTGCCTGGACCCACAGGCAGCAGAGCCCTCTCCTGCTGCATCCACTCCTGACAGCACCTGTGCCTACGGCCCCTCCTCACCTCTCCTTGATCACCTCCCTCACTGAGGCCTCTATCTCCCCAAAGTCCTGCCCCAGGAGGTATTAGGGTCCACCTGTGACCACCAGGATCCTGCCCAGGATCCCCTCACCACCACCCACCGGACATGGCAGGCGGGAAATGAAGGTCACAAGGGTCAACTTAGCACCACGTGGTGACAGCTTCAGGCTGGGTACACACTGGAGAGGACGCTAAGACTGGCCACAGGCTCCCCACCCAGGAGCACTCCGGCGGTCCCTCAGTGCCCCCAGGTCCCTGCATGCAGTCCAGAGCTTGGGGCAGATCAGAGCAGGTCATGCCTAGCTGACCCTCCACTGAACAAGGACTGTAACTGGGGGACATTGACATGTGTGCCCCAGGGCCACCAGCTACCTGAGCCGCCATTCGGAATGGCACGAGAGCCTGAAGCTGGTGCCCACCACACGGCAGGGACCATGGTCCGGCCCTGAACCCTCACTCGAGGTCCATCCCGGGCAGGGTGGACAGACGGACAGACAGATGCTCACCTCCCAGCGTGCACTGACTCCTCTGCCGTGGGGTCTCCAGGTCAGCCAGTTCGCTGAGTAGAGCAATCCCATGAATCCCTGAGCTTTGGGGTGGGGGCTCGGCACTGGGGGGTCCTGGGGACGCCAGGGGTTGAGAGTCCAGTGGGCTGAGTCCAGGCAGGTCCCCCAGGTCAATGGTGGCGGCCACGAGGTCATCCAGGCTGGGCAGCACCCTGGGCGGGGCATCACCGTCCAGGCAGCTGGTCCAGTTCTCTCCTGCATCTTCCTCTTCCGAGTCTTCCTCCTCCTCCAGCTCCCCGTTGTCATCTCTGCCCTGGGCACCGGGGCTCCATGTCAGCTGTTCCGTGGCCTGGACGCTGGCCCCTGGTGAGGACCCTTGTGTCCCTCCTTCCCCGCCCCTCTCTGCGGTCCTGTCCCCGTGGGCCTCTCCCTGAGTGGCGTCAGCCTGGCCAGCAGCCTGGGAGCCCTCATCCAAGGCGAGGGCCCCGTAACGAAGTTCCTGGAGTGGGCTGGAGTCAGCTGCCTTCCCTGTGGGTGTCCGCTCAGCAGGGGGCGGTGGGGTAGCTAGGCCCTGGGTCTCCCTGGCCCCTGAGAGCAGCCCGGGCTGCTCCAGAGAAGGAGGGGCACAGTGGGGTGGGTCTCCGCCCAGGAGTGTCCTTGTTGGCTCGGGCTGTGCCCCAGAGGTGGTGGCTTGCATAGTTTCAGGGTCTGAGAGGTCAGAAGAACGCATGAGGGCAGGGTGGACGGAAGGGAAGCCCACGCAGGCTGGAGGACACTGGTATCCTGAGGGCAGGGCTGTGAAAGAGAGAAGTGTCAGTGTGGGGACAGCAGGAGGGGATCTACCCACCTCACAGCCCTTGTGGTAGCGGGGTGGGGGTGGGGGGGAAACGCTACTTTGAGGGAGGCTGGGCTGAGGGGAAGCCCTCACCAGGCTCCCTGGGCCCCAGCCAGCCCAGGACCCTGTCACAGGGCAGCCGCTGGGCCTTGGACACACTGTGCAGCTAAGAAGACGAGAGGGACCCTTTCAAAGACTCCCAGATTAGGGTTTCCTAGAACCAGAACGCACTGGCTGCATGTCAGGGGCCTTACGCCCCATTAACTGCAATTAAAAAAAATCATCAAAACACCAACCGACCGCCTCCCCTGGCTCAGAGACCCTATTGTCCAAGTGGAACTGGTTTCATGTTTGCCCCACGGACATCCAGTGTAAACAGCCTGATTCAGACCAAATTCAATAGCCCGTCGGGAGCTGGCAGGCAGCACTATGAGGGCGGGTGGGCATGCCATGGGCTGCAGAGGCCCCGGCCAGGACCCTCCACCTCAGGTGGCCCCTGGAGTCCTTATCTCTGATCTCGTCTGTCCAGATCTGATGGGCCAGGTCCTGGGCTAGACGTCCCCATAAGAGTCTGATCCTTGTCCTGTCCCGTCAGACGCTGTGTCCTCTGTGGGTGTCGGGGGGGGGGCAGCCCTCAGCTCGGCACAGGGAGGCGATGGGATGGCTCGGGGCGGGGCTGAGAGCAGGCCAGCCAGGCCTGCGTGTGACGCACCTGGTTCCAGGGCCTTGAGGCCGTCCTGGGGCTGCTGGCCCTCCTCGCTCCTGTCCTCCATGCCGGCCACGGTGGAGCCAGGCCCGGAGCTGCGAGCTGGTGCACCCACGGAGGGGCAGACGGGTAAAGTGCAGGGGACGCTAGGCCTGGGCGGGGTGGGGCAGGCGGTGGGAGGCTGTGGGGCGGGCGAGTGGCAGCAGAACGGCAGCTTCGGCCCGGCGGTGGTGGGCAGGGAGGCGCCCTTGGCGGTGGGGGTTAAGGCAACTGGTTTGTGAGTGGACTTCAGGGCCTTCTCAGGAGTGGGCTCCTCTTGCTCCAGCTGCGGGTGAGGAGGGGTGAGGTGCTGCGGCCCCATGGGCCAGCCCTCCCACCTGCTGGGCGTCTCCGGGCACACTGGCTGGTACCTGGAAGTGGGCCTGCCGCTGCAGCTCCAGAGCCTGAGGTGCCCGCTGGGGGGCCTGCTGTGGCGGCTGGGGCTGGGGCTGGGGCTGCTGCGCCGCGGGGGGCTGCAGGGTGTACAGCTCTTGCTGTCGCAGGAACTGGGAGCGCGAGTACACGGGGAGCTGGCCGGGGTGCTGCATGTGCGAGGCGGGGCCCCGGCCCCCGTACATGGGGGGCCACAGTGAGGCCTGGTCCATGACGTCAGCTGTGGCCGGGCAGAGGAGTGTCAGCTGTGGGAGCCAGGCCTAGGCTGCTTCCCCAGCCCCTCCTGGGCAAGCCCCCCACCGCCCAGGTCTTTCCAAACCATCGTCCACCTCATCGTCCTCCACCACATGCTCAACTCCACCGGCACTGGCCTCCCCGCTCCCTCTCCAGACAACAGAGCCCCCTAACAGGCAAACGGCTGGCCCCCTTACCAAGTGCATGGGAGGCCGCGTGGGGAGTGGGTTCTGAGGGCAGAAGGACAAGCTGTGCAGGGGGCTCCTGGGAGAGCGGGAAGACGGGGGGCATGGGGCCAGGCACCGAGGCAGGGAAGCCAGGGGGCAGGTTCTGGTGCAGAGCAGGGTGCCCGAGGCCTGGAGAGACAGAGGTGGGGGTGTGGTCAGGGTAGAGGTGCTGACCCGAGACTCCACCCGTCCCTCCTGCCCCACTGAGCACTCACCGTAGGAGTGTCCCCCCATCCACAGAGAGGGGCTGCGGGTGCGGGGTAGCCAGGGGGGGTGGGCAGGGTGAGCGTGAGGGGCTGGGTCGCCGGCCAGTTGGCTGTTCTGTAGGGAGGAGCCTCCGGCAATCATGAGGTGTGGGCCCAGGTCTCCAGGACAGCCTCCAGATGCATGTGTCCTCGTGAAGTCCACCAGCTCCTTGTCCCTGTGAGACCACGGCTCAGTTGGTCCAGGCTGCTCCCACCCCCACGGCCCTTAGTCCTCAAGGACACTGACTGGAGTGGGTGCCAGTGAGCCCAACAGGCCCCCCATGTGGACAGGACCCACAGGACAGGCCTCCGTGCGTTCTCCCCAAAGCTTGCTCCGCAGGGTGACACGGAGCTGGAGTCCCTGAGCTGAGCAGAGAGCAAAGTGGCCGGGGCACCTCCCAGGGCACCCCCACTTACTGAAGCAGCAGCTCCCGTCCGGCCAGCCCCAGGCGGTCTTCGCACAGGCGCGTCCGCTCCTCCTCAGCTTCCAGCTCTAGCATGTGCATGGATCGGGGGCCTCCGCCGGCTGTGGGGGGAACATGGGGTGAGTGCAGGAGTGGGGGCTGACTGGCTCAGGGTGGGGCCTCTCGGCTCTGGGGGCAGGTTTATCAGGTGTGGGTGGAGGAAGGGAGGACAGCTGCCCCGAACCCAGGGCACCGCCCACTCATGTGTCCTTCCGGCGGAGGGCCTGCTCACCCTTGAAGGCAGGGGCCGCCCTGGCCTGACGCCCCGCGCTGTAGGTGTTCTCAGGCCGGCTCCCAGCATCCTTCTGCCGGGCCAGGGCCACGGCGATGCCCACAGGTGGCTGCCGCACCTCGCCGTCGCTGTGGGGGTGCTCATGCTCACGGCTCCGGGCACAGTCGGGCCTCTCCACCTCGCTCGGGGCCTGGCTGGGGCCCTTGGGGGCTGGGCCCTTGGCATCCTGATGGCCGCAGCTGGCCTTGAGACTGCCCAAGCCCACGAAGGGCGCCCTCTGCCCCACTCCCAGGGCCTGGTTGCTGTACTTGAGCAGGCTTTTCATGGCCGAGACCTCGTCCGGCGGGGTCGCCAGTTCCTGGGGCATGAGGGCCGCCGGCTGCAGGCTGCTGCTGAAGGCGTCCAGGTAGGGGCCGCCTTTGCGCTCCTCGGCGACGGCCACGGCGGGCCCCTGGCCAGGCTGCACGCTCCACGGCGGCAGGTGGGGCCCACCGTAGCCCAGGGGGGCCAGCTCCAGGGATTTGCGCTTGCCCTCTGTTGAGCTGCACCCTGCATCTGCCTCGGGGACCACCAAGTGCTGCTGGTGCCGGATGCGGGCCACTTTCTGGGCCCCGGAGGTACCTGAAGGGGCCTCCTTGCCCGAGGGCTTGTCTAACGTGCAGCACACCTGGCCCACCTTCCCCCCGAGCACATCCTGAAGACTCGGGTGGGAGCACTCCTGCGTGGGCAGCTCAAAGTAGCCGCTCCTGTCCAGGCTGCCTTTTGGGAGGCCAGGGAAGGACGCCTCGGGGCCCGTGCTGCCAAGGAACTCTAGGCCTTTGAGCCTGGGGTTAAGGGTGGCCTCGAAGCCCCCCGTACGCCGCTCGCTCTTGCCCTCGGCCTTCAGGTGGGCATAGGTGACACCATAGGGCATGACCTGATCAGCAGCTGGCTCCAGATGCCGGTCCTTGCCCTCGCCGGCCACGGCGCAGGCCTCTGTGGCCTGGAAAGGGCGGGTCTTGTCAGTCAGGTGCCCCACTGAAGGCACGAAGGTGGGCCCACTGGCCTTCAAGTCTCGAGGGGTTTTGTCCTGCAGTGGGCAGAGCCCGTCGGGACCAGCGTGGAGCTGCAAGCAGGAGAAAGAGCCGGCGGCAGTGCTGAGAGGCGGGGGCGGCCCAGAGGGCACGGCGTAGGACACGGGGTGATGCAGCATCTGCCGCCTCTCCAGACACTCGCTGAAGGCCGGTCCTGACTCCGGGGGCCCCGCTGCCTCCTTGCTGCAGCGCCCAGGGGCTGCCGTGCCCACGCCAGAGCGAACCAGCATGCCCCCTGTGCAGCTGGCCAGGGCAGACTTGCCCATGTCGCCGTTGATCACCTTGGTGTTGAGGACGCAGGCGGCCAGGTGCTTGGCACGGCCCTCGCAGGCCGCCCGGGGCACGGTGCCATCCGCACAGTGCCCATCAGCTGGCATGGGCAGCACCAGTCTGTGCCGCTCCTTGGCGCCGTCCTCCTCCGCCACTGGCCGCTCCTTGCCCTCGGCCACCTTGCCGGTCTTCTCCTTACCCATGAGGAAGCGGTCGTACTCCTTGGTGCCCTTTGGCAGGGGGCCGGCCTCGCCCCGCTCACGGCTGCAGGAGCCAACGGGGTGACCCGGGGCCGCCCGGGCCCCCCCAGGGAAGCTGTGGTTGGCGGGCAGCAGTGTGGGCTGAGGGGGCAGGCTGCGCAGGTAGAAGTTCTCTGTGTGCAAGAGAGCCCAGGTCAGACGAAGGCCCCCCCATTGGGCAGCGTGGGCAGCTCAGAGGCCCTGACACTGTCCTGTGACCCTACAAGACCCACAGCTGGCACCGCTGGGACCAGCAGCTACAAATGGCTGGGACGAGCTTCACTCACTTCATGTCCTCCTACCCAGTCCAAGGTGTTCTGGGCCCTGAACTTGGGGCTGAGAGCCCCCCCAGAGTGACCTGTGAGGGGGGAGGGCACGCAGAAGACACTTACGGGAGCCAGAGGGTGATGCGTGGGCACAGGCATGCACACCCACTCTCACACATCATAGTACACACACTCTCTCTCTCTCACACACACACCTTATTCACACGTGAATACGCACCTATGTGCATACCACAAGCCACACATACATTCTCACACATGTGCACACAAAGACACACACACATTCACAACACACACACACCCCTCACCCTAGTATGTGCACGCACACACACACACACAGGGCTGAGGTGGAGGGCACAATGGAAGGATTCAGGTGGAGTCTCATGTGGGGCCTCTGGTGAGAGCTGGGGTGCAGTGAAGGGATGTGTGGAACGGGACCCTGAGTGGCTGAAAAAGCCAGGCTGCTTGCTGGGTCTCCTACCTGGTGTCCTAGGCTGCGCCCTTGGGATAAGTGGACAGGGGGAGACCGGGAGGAGTATGATCTAGGGTCCACTGTCCTGAGACTACCAGGGGGTCCTGCCACCTCCCTGCTGGGCGGTGGGTGGATGGGACTCCCTGACTAAGGTCAGTCCTCAGCCTGGGAAGACCCTTCCTACTGCTGTCCTCCAAGCTCCCTGTCAGTCCTGGGGACACCCGCTTGCCTGCCTCTGGGGGATTCTGAGATCCAGCTTCTCCCGGGTGCACTGTATGCAGTTAGACACTCAGACAGCAAGGGGTGGGGCTGGGTGCCCCCCCACTCTACGCTGTAGTCACACACACACACACACACACACACACACACACACACACGAAACATTTGGAACTTTTAAAACTGTCCTCAGTCATGTAAATTCCTTGTCAATTTCCTGCTAATTGAAAACAAGGGGCAAGGGAGAGGGAAGGGAAAACCGGGCAAACCTAATTAGCTCAATTTCCAAAACCAAATAATGTTCTTGGACGAGGTTCCACCACAATATTGTGAAAGCTGAGCCGTCACTGCGCCGCCACCTGCCATCACCGCTGCCCAGGGGAGGGGTCCTGCACTGGTCCAGCCTCAGGTTTCGGGGCTGGGACCAGCCACCTGTCAAAGCAGCTGCACAGGCGAGCTGGGACCAAGACGGGGGCCAGCCTGTGCTGCACAGTGGCTTCCACGCCCAGGGCCCCCGGGAGGGGCTCCAGCTCATCAAGAACTGGGAGCAGAGGCCTTTCCAGAGTGGCCGGCCCTTCTCTTTGGCCAGCACAACTTTCTGGGTCTCACTCAGCTTGACCTCACTGTCCCCATGCAGTTGGCTCACCCTGGGCAGCGGCCCCTCCAGGTCCCAGGGGGCAGGCAGGCCCCAGGTGGTAGCAAGGTCTAGAGTCCCAGGTCAGGGGTATGAGGTGGGGAGGGAGATGGGGGTGTCAGGGGACAAGCAGGAGAGCTGGGACCCAGACTCTGGAAGGTCTCATTGCTGCAACCTAAAATCTCCTAACTGGGGTCACCCTGGATGGCTGAGAGCACAGACTCACTAGAGTACCCCCTCTCCTGAGACGCCCTGAGTCTCCACACCAAGGCCAGGCTTCATTGCGGGGCTCCCTGGGCAGTGCTCACCCACTGTCAACCACTTCTCTGTCATCGCTGGGGGCCCTATGCATCCAGCCACCTCCAGCCAGGCTGATTCACTAGCAGGGTCGTTGGTGAGCCCGTCTGTGAACACATGTACACACACACACACACACACACACACACACACACACACGTCTCTGTGTTCGCGGGCCCTCCGTGGCCCCTCACCACCTCAACAGCAGAGCTTTTACCTCAGGGTCCCATCTCCTCAAACACCTCCAGGAGACCCCTGCACCCTGCCCAGCGCACTGGAACATGACCCTCACCACCTGAACTTGCAGGAGGTCCCCTGCACAACCCCCACCCCACCCCTTAACACACAAACGCGGCCGCACGCACACCCTGTCCACTGGGGCATGGCCCTGTCCCTCCTTTGCATCGTGTGACCCCAGTACTAGTAGAGGGAGGGGTGTGTCACCCCAGCCCGGCCCAGCAGACAGGAAGTGCAGCCCCTGTCCCCGCCCTGCGCCCCTAAGAGGATGGCGGGCATTCCCAAGGGCTGGGCTATTTTAAACAGCTTGCTCTGAAAGTGGAGGTGGCTCAGAGCTCCCCACGCGGAGCGCTTGGCCTCACTCTCCCACCCAGAAGTTTTCCAGGACTGACAGACGGGCCCATCAGCAGAGAGGGTGAGGCTGGGGGGCTCTGCAGGTGCCAGGTCTCTTGGGGTGCTGGGGGGGGGCCAAGCAAGGTGCAGACCACGCCCACCCCAGCCAGCCGCGCCCCCCGCCCCGCCCCCCACTGGTCCTTGCCGCCTGCGCTGTCACTTGCCTTTCTGGGCTCCATAGAAACGATGCTGCCCATAGAGGACATTGCTGTTTCCATGGTGATCCAAGTGGCTCATGGGTAGGAAGGTAGATGCCAGACTCCCCGAAAATCTGGGGTACCCTGGAGCTGGAGAAACGAGGAGATTGCTGTCAGGCCGCCCCCAGCCTCCCTGCACCCCTGAAGCCAGGGAGGGGAGGCCCAGAACGAAGCCCCCAGGAGGGGCTCGCGCAGGCCGGTGGGAAATCAACCCTTCAATACATCCTATCAACTCTGACTCGGCTAACACCCTCTGTTCAGAGGCACAAACGGAATTGCTGATGGGCTGGGAGTGAGGGAGGGTGGGGGAGGGCGTCTCGATTTCCTCTAGCATCTCCAGGAGCTGCCACGACCAACAAAAGGGGCTGTGGGGGGGCGGGCGTCCTGGGGGGGCAAGCGGAGAGGGGCAGTCGGGACAAGTGATGGGGTCAGCATCTGACCTGGGAGGTTTGCAAAGGGGGAGCTTCTCCCAACTGGAAGGGCTCCTCACATGGGCCCAGCCCATCGCCAGGCCTGTCCCGCAGCCAGAGTGCTGGGCTTTGAACTCGGCCTGGGCCAGCCTGGAACGGCATGCGAGTGCTGGCCCACCCTGCAGTGCGGGGCCTGCCCTACCAGCGGCCCTAGGCTGCTCGGACACCTGGCACTTCCCTCTCCAGAGGTGAGGGTCCAGCCACAGCACAGAATGCTGACGGCCACTTCAACGTGGGCAGATGGAGGGGCATGTCTGCTGAAATGTCCAGCCGTCTGCAAAGGAGGCTTCTCAAAGGGCATCCTTCCTCAACAGCCCTCAGGAAGGGGTAGGAGCAGCCCCCCTGGGGACCAGCAGGCCCAACCCCCTTGTCCAGTCTGCAAGGGCAGGGCCACCTGCTCCCAGCCACCATGGATGGTGGGTGTTGTTTGCCGTCGAGGTGGAACCGACCCGTAGCTGACCCTCCCCCGTGGGTTTTCAGAGGCAGTAAACTACAGAGGAGGTCCATCCTCCTTCTCCGGAGCAGCTGGCGGATTCCAAGTGCGCGCCTTTGGGATTGCAGCACACCTTCTTGGCACTAGGCCATTCAACCCAAGGCCGGGGTATCGGACTTTCTTCCTCCGAGGACTCCCACGAGGCACTGGCTGGCAGGAGGTGAGGACACCCACTGTGGGTTGGCACTAGGTCTACGTTTGCCAGCTGGGTGAGTGTTCTCAGAACAAGGACACCTGCTGACCTGGGGCTGCTCATCTGTGAGCTGCTAGGATGTGCTCAGGACAAGGGCACGCCTGTGAGTACGGAGGGCAGAGCAGCCCAAGAGCCTTCCGTGAGGCTGGGCTGCCCCTCCGCCTTCTACAGGGAGGACCGCAGGGCAGGAGCGGACACCCGGGCATGGAGGAGTGGGTGCTGGCCGGACACCCAGGCATGGAGGAGTGGGTGCTGGCCGGACACCCAGGCGTGGAGGAGTGGGTGCTGGCCGGACACCCAGGCGTGGAGGAGTGGGTGCTGGCCGGACACCCAGGCGTGGAGGAGTGGGTGCTGGCTGGCTCCTCTACTCTGGTCCTCAGATGTACCCCCATGACTCCCAATTGCCCCAAGCTCCTACGAACAGGCCTAGGCCCCTGCCTGTCTCTTTAATCTGCCGGTCTCAGAGCCAGGATCCCCAGGCCTCCAGCACAGCTGAGCCATTTGGCAAGGAAGGGACATGCAGTCGTGCGTCTGAGGTTATGTCCCCAGACGGTCTGAGGGGCAGCCATGGTCACGACTCTCCGATGGAGTCCCCAGAAAGGACAACAAGTGGGTTCACGGTGTGTCTGAGCACCACAGTCGCCCCAGCTGGAAGGCGATGGGCACCATCGCAGTGACGTCATCCGTCAGGTGACTAAGCCCCGCCTTGCCTGACAGTCTCTGAACTCACTTCAGCACGGAGTCCCCTCGGTGCGCCAGTGGGTCGTCAGGACGGGAAAGGGTTCTGAGAACACCCCCTGAGGAATGGCCCCCGACCCAGCCACAGGCCAAGATCCACACTCCTGTCCCTCCCAGACGCTGCGTCCAGCCCTCGGGCTCTGTCCACAGGTCAGACACCCACATTCCTGAGGTGAAGAGGGTGGCCTAGACACATGACCTCTGAACTAGACCTCTGAGGTGGGCCAGGGCAGCCCTGGGGTGAGCATCACGGGGGCAGGTGGGTGCAGCACCCTGATGTCAGTGCGAGAGGACACTGCAGGAGTGTTGGTGGTCAAATGGGACAGGCCTGGGAAGCAAGGCCCCCTCAGTCCACTGGGGACCTGCACTTCAGCACACAGGCCCCGCAGCAGTGGTGGGCTCCTGAGCTGGTCTGGAAGTGGAAGTGCCATGCCTTCTAAGAAGTCCCAAGGCATAAGACACTCTAGTCAAGAAGTGGCCAAATAGCCTTGGAAGTGGCGTGGGGAACAGGAGGGTGTGGCCCCGTCGCCCACACCGTGTGGGACAGGGCTGGGCGGGCCGCCTGGCCAGCGTGTGGAAGGACATCTGGTGGGTCAAGCTCCTGGAAGGCGGCCCAGCTAGGGGGAGAGGTGTGGCCTGTGGAGGTGTTGACTCCACCACCCAGGGGCCCTCCTGGGATTGGCTGCTGGGAAGTGGTAAACAGAAGTCTGTTAAATTCCTCCTGCCCAGCCCAGTTTCCCAGGTGTGGACCCCCTGACCCTGGGAGGGCAGCCGTCCAGTCGCTGAGGGTGGGCCCTTCCCTGCTCAGCCCTCTTGGGGCGGTGTGGGGGCGAGTGGCCCTGGACTGCATGCCCTCCTCTTCGTCCCAGCTGGCGGCCATCAGGCCCAGAAATGGGGGTGGGACTGGAAATCTGCGGGGGTCCCAGACCTCAAAGTCTTCTCGGCCCCCACTTCCCAGCTTCCCTCCAGGATGGGGTGCGGGGTGTGGGGGCGGTTAGAGAGAGCTGAACAGATCCTGGAGAGTGAGATGAAGGCCACGGTGAGGGGGCCAGGGAGGGCAGGAGGGAGTGAGATGAAGGCCACGGTGAGGGGGCCAGGGAGGGCAGGAGGGAGTGAGATGAAGGCCACGGTGAGGGGGCCAGGGAGGGCAGGAGGGAGTGAGGGGAGAGCCCCAGCTCAGCGATCGATTGGAGGCCCCCTTCTCTCAACAGCACTGCTGTCTGAACCGAAGCAAAAAAGATGACTTTTCTGAATGGGTGCAGCTGATCGGGGCCAGGAGCGAGGCGGCTGGCCAAGCACTGATGTTGCTGCGGGCACCTCTGGAGGTGGCAGCCCAGGCTGGCTGGACTCCCGATTCTGGAGCACATGACCCTCCCTGCCCCAGGCCTCACCCCCCACAAAGCCTGAGATACGAGGCACCCCAACATCTAGGTAAAAGCTCAAGTGGTCAGGCTGCCCATCCGTGTGGGACCAGGGCTGCCACGTTACTGTCGTGCTGCCTGCCATGAGCACGAAGCCACCCAGAGGGCTGGATTAGAAGAGTGCCGAGGCTGCAGCCACTGTCCCCTGGCCGACTCAGGACCTGCCTGGGCACGGAAGGGCAGCATCCGTGGCCGGTGGGCGCTGCCATCCCTGCTGTCGTATTTGCAGGAGACATCCTCCCCATGATGGGCCTGCTCCTGGCACATACCCCCTTCTGCCCACAGCCCTCGGTGTCCAGGCTGAGCTTCACACTCAGGAATGACCACCACCAAGGGGCTCTGTGCTAATGGACCCTTCCTCTGGCTGTGCCCACCTGGGCCGCCTGGGGTTGGGAGGGAGGGCCACCCGGTGATCAGCCCATGGGCTCCTCTAGTCCTGCAGTCAGAGGGGCTGGAGTCTGAGGTGAAGGTAGGTCCCGTGTGGATTCCTATCTCATTGCGTCGAGTGAGAGGCTGCCCATGTCAGGCTCCAGCCCACCTGGCTCAGGTGTCCCAAGTCCACTGCTCATCTCCCATGTCACACGGCTGAGGCGTTCCACACGCACCTCTAACCTGTGACCACCCCAGGGTGCTGGGCCTGGCAGGCTCTGTTCACTTCCAGGCCAAGCAGATCAGCTAATGGCCACGGAAGTGCCAGGCTCCTGCGGGCACGGGTGCAACAAAAGCTGCAGGCAGCCTGCCCGGGCCCGAGGCCAGCCCTGGACAGTCCTGGGGCGCCTGGCACGCACGCTCCGGGGAGGAGCCGCACAGAGCTGATATGACCGCTCGTGCAGAGGAGATGGGCACCAGGCAGGGCTAGCAAGGAGGCACCCAGAGCAGGCCTTAGAGCCAGCAGCTCTGGGGACCCCACTCCCCAGGGCCTCTGCTGCTCAAAGGGCCACATTCATGCTGCCTAAGCCTCTGTCCGCTTCCCCCAGCAGCCTCTGTGGTCTCTCACCAGGGGCAGGGCATGTCCCCCGAGGGGCCTGGGACCACTGGCCACTAGGTGACACAGGGAATGGGTGTGTTGTCATTTCCTGCCTGGCTCTGTGGGTGTCCTGCTCAGTGCTGTGATGGACGGGCAAACAGACCCACTGGTGCAGTGACTCTCACAGCTGGACAGTCCTGACTTTGTACACCGGACGTGGCAGGGTCCATGGGGCAGCACGTTGAGTACCGATTTACAGGTGGGAGAAGATGGGGGAGGGGAGGCACCCCCAGCACCGGACAGCGGGGAGGAAAATGCCATGTCATACCCAGCAGCCTCAGAGGGGCCGCGAGGGAGCCGGGGACACACAGCAGGAAGCTTGCCAGGGCTCCCCTGTACCCCATTCCCCAGGCCAGTCTCCAGTGAAGGAGAGACCTCCAGCAGCCTGGTCTGGCAGGAGGCCAGTGCTGGCATGCAGCGAGTGTCGCCCACGACTCCCCCTCCAGGTGGCACAAGAGGCCACAAGTAGTCTGGCCCTGGAGCTCGGGAGCCCGCGCCCCCTCCCCAGCTGAGCCCCCAAGAACAGAAGCCTCTCTCATCAGCCCTGTAGGTGGTCTGGCTAAGCAGCTGGGGAGGGAGGGGACCTGTGCGCTGACAATGGGGCCAGCTGCGCCGCACCCCACCCCCGCTCTGACCCACCCAGGCCGGGCTGGCCACCATTCAGCTCACCTCCGTCCAGGGCCATTTCCGCTACCCACCCCATCCCAAAGCAGCCCATGGCGGGAAAGTCTGGGCCCCGGAGGGATCCCTCATCCCAGACAAGCTGCAGGGAGTTCTGCCCCGTCCAGTCCAGATGTTCTGGGGCGTTCCGCTGGCCCAGCAGGAAGAGCCGCCCCTCTGGTGGCTGCCCTGCAGATGGGGGGGTGGCCTGCAGTCTGGGGGCCCGCCCTGCCCATCCTGGTCTTCCTGCCTCGGAAGGAAGCTCCCCGGGGTTCAATTGGTTCTTTGCGCAGTCGTCCACAGATCCCCCCATTCTCAGCCACTCACGTGCCCCCCGCCCGAGCACACACGGCAGAGGAGCAGGCCCCGGCATGCGGGAGCCAGCTGGCATCCCGTCAAACGAGCAGCCGGGCACGCGGCCAGGGCAGCCTGCCAGCCGGCCTGCCACTCGTCCTGCCCCGCCCCCACCGCCGGCCTCGCGCTCCCGGGCTCCCGGCTCAGCGGCGGCCACCACGCGCTCGGCCACCACGTGGCCCAGCCACCCCACGTCGGGCCACCACGCGGCTCAGCCCCTGGCCCAGGGAATTCCAGGAGGAAGGGCGCGCCAGGACGGGCAGCTGATCTGAAGGCAGGGAAAGGGCAGTGGCGACGGGTAAACTGAGGCATGGGCCACGAGGTCCAGACGCACGGTGTGTACTCATCAGTTCTGCTCCGTGTGCTGGCCCTCGGGGACCTGGCAGGTGTGTGGCAGCTGGGGCAGGTGTCTTATGCTCCTCCCCAGGGGACTGGCCGGCCACACCGCTGCTGTGCCACCTCACAGCTGGGGGTGCTCAGAGGGCCCTGTCCTGGCCCGACCCCAGGGACTGCTGACTGTGCCGTAACTGCCCCCCGCCCTCCTCAGGCCATGGGCAGTTGAGGGCAAGAGCAGAGGGGGACTGAGGACTTTTGGGGTTGTATGGACAAAGTGGTGACTGCTGGGGGCCTGCAGCCCCTGATCCGACACAGCAACTGAGGTGTTGCCTCCCCCAGGACAGAGCTGCATCTGAGAAGGGGACCTGACAAAGTAGGGGGCATGATGTGGCAGGATGGTGGCACCAGCATGCTCAAGGCGGTGGGGGCACGGCCAAGCAGCAAGACACCCCCTCAACGCAGGGCAGCCGGTGGAGGTGGGACCTGCCTGTGTATAGGTCTTCCTACCAGGTGGTTGTGGGGGCCAGATGAGGTGGGTAGTACCATCCACAAATTGCCCTCCTTGCTCCTGGGGTCCCCAAGGCAGGCAGAGTGGAGGGGCCATGCCTCCTGCTGGGAGGAGGGAAGCCCCAGCCAGTGCATTCTGGGGCGCCCTCCATCTGTGGGTGCGCTGAGGGGCAGGGGAGGAGTCAGTCACCTCTGTGCTGAGAGGGCTCCCCTGTCCAGTCCCCTCCTCAGATGTCCTGGGGCCCAGACACCACTGCTGGGACCTGGACGGCAGGATACTGGGGTCCACAGCCTCTCTGCCTCATGGGGTTTGCAAGAGCATGGGCGGAGGTGGGCGGAGGGGTCTACCCAGCTGGTGTGTCCTGGGACCCGGCTGGACCTTCCGACGGAGAGGCCTGCCCCTTATCGCCTGTCTTCCATGTGTGCTCCGTGCTGAGCCCAGATTATTTTAACAACTGTCCCTCACTCATCACCTGTCCCGTTTGGAAAACAGCCCTTTCTTGTAGCACAAAGAGAGGCCTCTGGCTCTCGGCGGCAGCGCCGCTCTGGGCGCTAATCTCCCTCCTGGAAGGCGGGTGGTGGCGGGCGCGGGGGTGGGTCTGCTGCTCTGTAAACACGGCACCCGCCGCTCCGCAGCCATTGAGTTACGGCAGAGCTGGGTGCCAGGAGCGGGTGCCCTCTGTGCCTGCTGCCAGCTGCAATTACCTCTCCATGTGCCAGCCGCCAAGAGGGCTTAACCCGTGCCCCGCCGAGGGGTGGGGGCAGTTTCAGCAACGCAGAGCTGAGGGGCTGCCCTGGGCAGGGATACAGGCCTTCGAGGCCGAACCACCAGGAGAAGGATGGACATCTATGAGGCTCCTACTGTGTGCCAGGGCTGTGTCCCCAGGGAGGTCTGGCTCTGTCCGTGCCAGGCCCCCAGGGTGGCGGCCTGTGATGTTGACAGCTCTCCTGCCCCACCCTTCCCAGCTACCACATCTGGAGACCATGTCTCCCCGAGTCTGGGAGAGGCCCAGGTTCTCCAGCTGTGCTCCACATTTCTCCAGCTCCCTGAAGCCCCCCTCCCACTCCCCCTTCTCCCCCTCTCTGCCCATCTGGAGCCACATCTGGCCACGACCCTGCCCGATGGGGGCCGCCCTGGTTCCCAACCAGCCCCCCCCCCCCCAGTGGGGACACGTCATTCTCCAGCTCTGGCCCAGCCCTGAGGGCCTGAAGGCACTTGACTTTGACAGCAAACCTGGGAGCCTGACTTACCTTCATGGGAATGGGAGAACCAGATTTGGGAGGGGGCCGGGTGGGAGCCACGGTAGGCCTGCTCAGGGGGTGCGGAGGGGGTGCTGCTGGGGTGGGCAGAGGTGGCTGAGCCCAGGCTGCCGGTGAGAAAGCTGCCCATGAAGGACGAGGCCGGAGTGTTCCCCATCAGGCGGCTGCTGGCTGTGGACACAGGGGCAAGGGTGACGCTAGAGAGATCTGAGGGCAGAAACAGCTGCTGCCCAGGAGCCCCCATGGGGACTTTAGGCCCAGACTGCCCTGGGACTTCTGTCTGCAAAAGTCCAGACAACAAAACAGCTATGAGGTATCATCTCACCCCAGAAAGAATAGCAAAATTCAACAGAACAGCAAACAAATGCTGGCGAGGTTGTGGAGAAACTGGAACCCTTATTCACAGTTGGTGGGAGTGTAAAATGGTGCAACCGCTGTGGAAGGCGGTGTGGCGCGTTCTCAAAAAGTTGCAAATAGAGATACCATTTGACCCAGCAATTCCACTACTGGGAATATACCCCAAAGAGACCATAACTGACACCCAAGCAGATATATGCACACCCCATGTTTATCGTAGCTTTGTTCACAATAGCAAGGAGTTGGAAACAACCTAAGTGCCCATCAACAAACGAATAGAGAAGCTGTGGTATAGTCACACAATGGAATACTACGCTGCATTGAAAAACAAGGAACTCATGCAGTATTATTCAGAATGGGTGACCCTGGAGGACATCATGCTGAATAAAATATCTCAGTCACAAAAGGACAAATACTGCACGGTGCCACTGTTGCAAAACGGGACTGACATTGAGGTTGGGGGGAAACTGAGAAAGATGGGATAAATAGTGTATACTGCATTGAAACAAATGAGGGAGAGAACTATTTAAAAGGGATATGTGATTAGGTATTATTGTCATGATAGGAGTCCAGAGCGAAGGCTGCATAGTGGAGTGGACCTGGGGCAAGGGTTTGTAAAACAATGAAAGAATTTTTCTTTTACTTTTCAAAGAGAAGAGCAAACTAGGGGGAGGAGGGGACAGGGAAAAAAGTGAAGCAATGACTGAATGGATAGCCAAAATCTCTGTAAATTTTCATTTACTGTTGTTGTTAAATGTCATCGAGTCGCAGGCAACTCACAGCGACCCTATGAAGGAGAGTCCTCAACACTTGCGTGACTTTCATCCTCTCTCCAGGTTCATAGGGTTTCCAAAGGCAAGCTATTACAGAAGTGGATGCCTCTCCTACTTCCAAGCTTATTTTAATCAGGGAGCTCCAACAAACACTGTCCGCCATGGGTAACCATTAACGCATTTGACATCAGTGTCACAGTGTTCAGCTTCACAGCCACCACGAGTTACCTCTGTTCGGCAAGTGGACAGACACACCAGGACTATACGACCTAGAAGAATGTTTGTCCAAACACAATTAAAAACAGGCCTGAGGGCCGTGGATTAATAATAATAATCATAATGAAAAAAGTGCAGACAAAAGTGGCTGGCACCGGCCCCAGCGGTCACTCTTGCCTGGGTCTCTGTGCAGCCCAACACCTGGGCACGGCCAGACTCCCTGCTATTACAAGACCCCCAAACCACATCATCAACCACCACAACCACCATCGTCATCATAGCCAGCGCTCAAGAGCCAACATCAACATGGCCTTCACTGAACCCTCACCACCACCTTCATCACCGTACCTCACTGAATCACCACTGCCACGGCCTCCACCACCATCATCACAAACACTCCAGTGCCACCATGGCCATCACCACTGTCACCTCCATTTCTTCTGACCACTGACCGACGGTCCAGGGCTAACATCACCACCCACCACGCTGCCACCCCATCCTACCACCACCATCATCACCGATATCACCAGTGTGGCGACCACCACCCTCCTCCCCGTACCATTTCCACCACCCTCATCACTCCCAGCACTGTCACCACCGGCACCATTACCACCATCTTCATCACAACGTTATCAAGGCCACCGTCACCCACCTACTGTCACCACCAGGAGCCAGCTCCGTAGCTCAGTGCCACATGCACACGAGGGCCCCGGGGGAACGGCCTGTCCTCACACGTCTCACAGCAAGGCCGCGCTCTCTCCCAGGCCAGCGAGCCTCCAGCCACGTGCCAGCTTGCTGGCACATCTCCCTGCAGGGGCCAACCTGGATTCCCCAGGACAGAGCCAGCAGGGCCCAGCCATAGTCCCCAAGGGCCCAGTAGTTCATGCCCTCCCAGGCCAGTACTGGGAGCGGCTGGCCTTTCTCCTCAGCAAATCTTTCAAAGAGAGCTCCTCCTCCCTGGTCCAGTGAACTGGCTTGTCAGATGAGTGCCTGGCCCCAGGACAGCCAGGACAATGAGGAGGAGGGAGGCAACTGCTTCGAGCCCCTGTGGTCCTGACCAAGTGGACCCCACTGACCTGCACTGGGCAGAAACAGCGAGGGGCCCTGGACATTCAGGTGCATGCAGCCTTTCCTTAGCCCAACATGCACACTGCCCACCACCTCCCAGTGCCCACTCTTCCTCCCTACCCAGGCCACCGGCCAAGGTCAGGCCTGGGCTCCCTCTGGACCAAGCAGGCCTCCTGGGTTGCCATGGCTACACAGATGTGGGCTGCTCAGAGCAGCTCCCTGCGCCAGAGAGGTCCAGGCTACACCGTTGTCAGGTAGGGTCAGGGCTTGGGGGCTGCAGTGGTCTGGGCTGAGAGCAGAGCCTTGGGGAGGTGGGGTGGGGTGGTGACTCAGGGCAGCTGTCCTCACGGAGAGGCCGAGGGATTTGTGAATGTGTGATGCCTCATCCCAGGGTTTGCCCCCCGAGCTTCCCAGACCCGGTGACTCAGTGGACAGGCTCGAGGCCAGGGAACCAGGGTGGGGCTGCAGGGATCCAGGCCCCCTCCCGTGGGAGAGGGACCGTGGGCACTTGACGGGCCTTACACCTCGGCTCCAGCATCTCCTAGCCACATCCAGGGAGGAGCAAGACCTGAGGGGTAGGGTGCGGCTGACCTTGAGGGCTGGGTGGAAGAGAAGGACCTCAGCCCCAGAAGGGGAGCCAGGGACTTCCCAGCCGCCTCAGGCTGGGGCTTGGCCCTGACCGCAGGGGCTCTGGCTGGCCGATGGGAAGGGCAATGCTGCGGGGCCAGGAGGGCAAGAGGGCGGTGCTGGCCGCTGGTCTCTCCGGGGGCATGCCTGTGGGGTGACTGTGGCCTCCTGGGGAGCAGCTTCCTGCTGGCTGGGCCTCAAGCCCCCCAGCCCAGGGAAGTCCCTCCACTCCACCCCCTGGTGGGTGGAAAGCAGCCTTGGCCAAGAGCTAGTCTGGACTCACGGCCTAATGCAGCCTGGGAAGCCCCTGCCATGAGCGCTCCCACATGGCTGGGGAAACCGAGGCACAGAGCAGGTTCCCAGAGCTGGCCTCCTGAGGCCTCGCCCCACCCCTGAGGGATTCTCCCCTCAATGCCCGGTGCCTGTCCCTGCTGGGTCACTCTTTGCAGAGTCAACATCTGGGTGCTGCGTAAGCCCTGGACGCCGGCCTCAGAGTCTGAGAAATGGGGTCTCTCCAGCCTTTCTCCCTTCCTGAGAACCCAAGGTCCAGCCTGTCCTGTGCTTATCACCGGAGTGTGACATCTCATGCCACCCTCAGAAGGACATCCACCCTTAGGAGGACAGGGGGTCCCCCAGAAACCCTCACCGGAGACCGTCCCAGGTGTGGGATCACCACTTGCAACTGTTCATTGCACCCCAATTCCTGAACCAAAACCCCGCATGTGCTGTGGTGACAGCCCTCGGCGACCCTCGGAAAACGTGCCCACTTCTTTCCTGTGCCCTAGCACGGCCTGCCTGGGGACAGCACCTCAGGCCCTGCCCAGCCAGCACTAGTGCTGGGCTGTTATTCTGCAGGAGGACAGTGTGTGGACCCCAGACTCCCCCTTTCCTCCTCACTGGGCCACCCGTGTACACCCCAGAACAGAGCACCTCTCGTCACTGCCCATCTCTGAGGAGTATGGTCCATGGTCACTCCCCAGTAACCAAAGAACAGACTGCCTTGCACAGAACAGGGCCCTGGGCGGGCGGTGGGAGGACGGCCAGGCAGACACCAGGCTGGTGGCTCCTTCCCTCCAGACAAGCCTCCGCCCTTCCACCCTTCTCACCACTCACCCCCTGCCACAGACAACCACAGCTGGCCAGGTCTCGGGGGAGCCCTGGGCAGCAAAGGGCTGGAGGCCTGGGCGAGAGCTCCTCCAAGGTCCCATCTGAAGGCCCAGTACCTCCTGTGCCTGGGGCTTGGAGGACGTCTGTGGAGGTCACCTGACTCCTGGTCCCTCCAATCCCACCTCCCTATGCCCCAATAGTGTGGTCCCAAGACTGTGGTCTGAACTCGGGTCTCCCCATTGGTCAGCCCCCAGCCCAACTGGTCTGTGTAGTAGTGCCCACAGAGACCTGGCCTGGGTGTCAGGCTGGCAGAGAAAACCACTCAGGATGCCAGACACCTGGGAGGGCTGGCTGACACCCTCTCTCAGACTCAGCCCCCTCCTGGAGGCTTACCCAGTGGCCTACAAACCTGGCCGGGGACAGCTGGACCCTGGCTCCTGCGTCTGCCCTTGGATCCCAGCACAGGAGGACTTGAACACGGCTGAAGGAGCTAGACTTGGAGCCCCTGACCTCCCAGAACCCCATGACGCTTCCACACAGCCGCAGCCTCTGAAGGCACCGTGCGCGGCACGAGGCATAGCAGATGTCACAGGTGGGACCGGCCCTGTCGCAGCAGACAGCCCGACATGAGTGCGAGTGCTGGGACCAGCTTCCTCTGGCCTGTCCACCAGCCGGCTGAGCAGGCCACCTGGCATCCCTGAGGGGCTTGAAAATGCCGGGCTGGTAGCCCAGAGACAGAGCCACCGAGACCCAGGACTCCTGATAGGTCAGCCCTATGGCCCTGCCAGTGCCCACCTTTGTTTTCCTTCAGGGTGTGAACGCCAGCATCCCCAGCTCTTCCCTGTGCACCCTCGGCTCCCTGCCTGCCATTCTGGCTCCCTGTAGTGCCCACTGAAGGCGAGGGATGGGCAGGGCCAGGTCCTGGGCGGGCAGGGTGAGGAGGCAGGGGCTTGTTGCCAGTTAGTGAGCCCCCAAGACCACCCTCCTCTTCTGGAAACTGCAAAATGAGTTGTAAAAAAGCCC